GTCTATGTGAAGCACCTTGAACTGCACTTATTGTATGAAAGGTGCTATACAAACAAAGATTATTATCATTACTGATGTTTTTTGTTTATCTCCCTCCCACAGAGCCAGGAAGATCCCCATCATCATCCGCAGGTACCTGCCTGATGCGAGTTATGAGGACTGGGGCAGTGACGAGCTCATCATCACAGATTAAACTCATAGCTGAATACAGAAATGTGCTGATTGACAGCCGTCACCGCTTTAGGTCAGTCAGGGTCATGAGGCTGAGGCAGGAATCACACCGCCAGTCCATCTGAGCAATCATATGGGTTTCCAGCTGTTAACTTCAACTTGAAAACCCATATTGATCTTGTGATTACACCGCAGCTGTCCGGGGAAACATGAGCCCATCAAATGTTCTGAACGGACACTAGAAAATTCATAACAAATCTGTGTGCCCTCCAGGTTTTTGATCATGTGATCCATTTTTTGTCACTCCACAAAATTTAAATTCAAAGTTTGTCGAGGGTTCTTGTTTTATTTCTTTAACAGCTGCATTATAACGATGAGCCACTCGGGGGAGATGTAACGTAAGGCATTCATTTACTTTGTGTTACAAAATCAACCTGTGTTGTAATTATTCAATCTGTTGTTTTGAAGGAGAGGGGATTAGTGTTAAAGAACGGTTTTATTCTTGTTAATAAAACTCTTTGTATAAATGACTGTCATTCATAACACTTTTTTATTTTACTAATATCTTCACACACATTAAACGACACACAAAAACAACACAAAATGAATATGCTACATTAGTAACTTATACTTATGACCTAACTTAAGGTGGGGTAGGTAATTCACTTCAGAAACACTTTTTGTTATATTCCATGGAATGCTCTTAACATCCCGATAGCAATTAAAACATTTAATCTGTGGAAGCCGTGGCGTTGTAAAAAGCACGACCAATCATCTGCCTCGGCCCGGCTAAAGTAACTAGATGGCCTACCTGCCTGTCAGCCTTCCATCTGTGCACAAACTTATCTCGTGCCCTCATTGGTCATGTGCGCGTTCGTGTGTGTTGGAGGAGGGGCTCTGTAAGGAAGTCTGAAGGAAGGGGCAGACTTTTTTCAGCTGCGTACTTTCAAATTCTAGCACTCGAGCTGGTTTCTCCATTCTTACCTACCCTACCTTTAATACAATACAATCATAAGTAAATATATCTTTAAAAATACAAAACAAATGATTTCTATATCAAATATGGTTACTTTTCCTCACTGTTAAATGATTCAGACATATCCAGATGTCATCACACTCATACCACTATGATTCACAAGAGATGAATTATGAGTTATACTTTGGGTTATTATCCGAGTCACAGAGCTTTAAAGGTATGATGTGGTTTAACACAACGTCAATTTGTGCCGTCTCTTGGCAGACAACACTGACAATAAATGGCACAAATGCAAGCACATAAATATGAAATAACAGTATTTTTGGATGCGGAAGAAAGGACACAATATAGCTTTTAATGTTCAGGAGGTGCTTTAAAGAGGTGTAGCAGGCTCAAAGCTGATGGTGAGTGTTGTTATTGTCATGATTCTCTCCGGGTCCCCTCCCCTCCCCTCTTTTCCTTTTCATACAAACACATTCGCACAAAGCAGCCACACAGGCGCTGTATTGTTTAGTGGAAATGAGTTGTTGTTGCCCAGAGAGAGAGAGGGTTGATGCATGCAAGAAGAACGAGGGCGCTGAAGTTTGTGAGGATTAGAGAGGACGCTGCATGGCCGTTCTCCAGACACTGCTATACAGTATATTCAGGGTGTTTAGGTTTATATACAATATGCATTACGTGTATATTAAAGGGGACCTATCATGCAAAATGCACTTTTTTATGTCTTTTATACATCAACGTGTCCCCGGTGTGTCAGGGAACTCACGCAGCGTCAGAAAATAAAACCCTCTCTCTTTTCCTCCGTACCCACATCTCTAAAAACGGGGCTACAATGGAGCTGATCCAGATTTGCGTCCGATATGACGTCATATCTGAAATGTGGACCGGCCCTATCAGAAACGTTCTTATCAGAAACAATGCCCGACTGTTTTGGACGTAATATGGTCGGTGTTTACATTAGCATCGCTAACACTCAGAGCTAACCTGTACTGGAGAGCATGTGTGTGAGGAAGCAGGAAGTAAAAAGGATCTCACCTTGTGGTATAACCGGCAAGAGAGAAGCCTTTGAGCTCCATACTGTTTCAGAGAGAATCCTTGATAATCCATGATATGGCGTTTCATCACGGCAGTATTTAGTTTAGACCAGGGGTCGGCAACCCCTGGCACGCGGCACCGTAACCAGTGGCACACTAGGAATAAGTGTGCAAATATTTAAATTGTATTTTCGGATCCTGAACGAGACCGCTGCCAGAGCGCGTCTCCCCGTTACCTGCAGAAGGAAGCCATGCACAGCAACGCAGCCCCGCTCTCTTTAACTCCAGGCGACTTTCTGCCGCTTTCCTCCGTGGTGCAGTGCTGATCGTTTCATCACCACAGAGGAAAGCACTTCACTAATTGCAGTACCCATAAGGGAGCTGTACAAATGCCGCAGTTTTTGCGTGGCTGTGTCTTTAGTTGAAAGCCCAGTGGCGATCTGCTCATCTCTCATCGAAATAATATGCTACAAAGGGGCAGACTAGCCATCTGTGTGTTGAACTGTCCTGTCGGCTCCCAGACCGTAGTCGAGGAGGGCAGAAGCAACAAGCTTCAGGTTCGATAACCCACTTTAGCTTAAATGACTGGAGAGAGGCAAGCTCTTCTTGGGAGGCCGTTGCCATTTATTTAGCTGTTCTTCTGTTTCACAAAATACATCATAGACCTCTGTTTTTCTGCTTCCTCGTTTCACTTCCAGAAACATACACGTTCTCTCCATAGGTTCTCTCACTGTCGCTCTACCATCCACAAACACACGTGCACAAGCCACACCCCTCTCTCTCTCTCTCTCTCTCTTAAAGGGACAGCGATCTCATCTCACTCTGCATGACCCTAATATCATAACATGTGTGCTCTGGAGAATCACAGAACGGACGATCGTCCTTATTATTATGCCGTTTAAATCAATTATTTAAATGTGTTTGTTAAATTCGGCATCATGTAAGTTGCGCTGACAGGTCCACACACTGCTTCCCCGCAGCGAGGCTCCCCCGCCCTCCTGCTGATAGTTGACGAGCGTCAAGCTCCTCAACCCCCCGTTGACAATTCTCGATCGTTGGCACGCTGATAATTATTTTTTTTTTAAATGGCACTTCATATCAAAAAGGTTGCCGACCCCTGGTTTAGACAGTAGCTGCCGGGTCCCGCATGAGCTCCGCCCCCTCCTTTTTTTTTTTAAAGCTTTATTCCCCAAATCAGCACTTTTGAAACAGGAAGTGAAATAGAGAGATATGAGGCATGGAGAATGGGTGATATGTTTGGTATTTTGAGCAAAACACTTCATAGACATGTTTTTTATATATTTTTATATATCTGAGACCTATGCTATTGCCTAAAAATAGCGTGATAGGTGACCTTTAATATTTTATAAGACATTCTTTAACTTCTTGTTTTATATCAATACCTTTTCTCATTATTCATTTTAACCTTTTTTTCACACTCTAACTTTACTTACATTTATATAAATATTATGAATTGTATTTATCCTTTTTTTAATTCACAAATGGAGCAACTGTTCATAAACCCCATGTCTCCCGGTATAAATAAAGCAGTCTGATGATGACTGATTTCAAATGAAGAAATGATGACGTAGGCTGTGTACGAGGTTTGAAGTAAAGACGTGTCTCAGAAGTATTTTAACGACTCCAAGAAGAAGCCAGCTTGTACTTTCATCTATAATTGTGTGTCGCCTCGGTCATGCTCTTAAATTCTCAAAAAACTGCTTTGATCTGTGAGCCTTTTGATTGGAGCAGACAGAGCCTCAGGGTGATGCTGCACTCCTTTCATGGTGTGGAGGGGGGGGGGGGACCATGTGACCATGTGACGCTCAGCTGCACCAACCACAGCGAGGTCGTCTTCAACACACTGTAGGGTGCAAATAACATCTTCAATTTGATTCTTCTTTGCTCATACTTCCCATGTTCCCCTTTATTTCCAGAGACGGCAAAAGTACACACATCCTTTACTCAAGTAGAAGTACAGATACTCGTGTTTAAAAATACTCTGGTGAAGTAGAAGTACTGACTAAACTTCTTTACTCAAGTCAAAGTAAAGAGGCTTTGAAATGTACTTCAGTAAAAAGTACCCATAACTAGCAGCTGTTTTAAGAGTACCTGACCTCCCTTTATATTAATAGAACAATAATGTCATTGTTAGCTAATGAATGTTTCCATGCTGAACAACGGCAACATGACAACGTTTCCATTGGTCCCTCTTCTTTAGAGAAGACCAGGAAATGATGGATACACGGATCGTGTTCAAATCAATAGGCACGCAATGACTCTAAATAATAATGATCACGCCACCAAACACACATTCAGACTAAAGGAACCAGCTGTTTGGGAAATGAGAGAAGTAGAATGTACAGGTATTTGTGTTCAACATGTAAGAAGTAGAAAGTACAGGTATTTAATAATAATAATAAATGATATTTATATAACGCCTTTCAAGGGACCCAAGGTCGCTGTACATGGTGGACAAACAAAACAAACAGACAATCAACGGGCAAACCAAAGAAATAAATAAAGGATGCCAGGGGACCAGAAAAGGGCTAGGGCCCGAAGGCCAGGGTGAACAGGTGTGTTTTTAGTGATAATTTGAAGATGTCCAGGGAGGCAGCATTACGGATCTCGGCAGGAAGTGCATTCCAGAGGGTGGGGGCCGCAACACTGAATGCCCTGTCACCAACAGTACGGAGGCGAGAGTGGGGGATGGAGAGCAGGCCCGTGTCTGAGGATCGCAGACTCCGAGAAGGGGTGTAGGGATGGAGGAGGTCCGATAAGTACTGGGGGGGGCGAGGGTATGGAGGGACTTGTACGTGAGGATGAGTGTTTTGTATTGAATCCGGGACTTGACCGGCAGCCAATGTAGGTGGATGAGGGTGGGGGTGATATGGTGCCATGGCTTGGTGTGGGTGAGAAGCCTGTCGGCAGAGTTCTGGACATATTGGAGCCTATCCAGGGTTTTGCTGGGAACCCCGGACAGGACTCCATTGCAATAGTCCAGACGGGATGTAATGAAGGCGTGTACAAGGGTTTCTGCCAGAGTCAGAGAGAGAAGGCCGGATTCTGGCAATGTGTTTTAGGTGGTAGAAGGCGGATTTGGTGACAGCTTTGACATGCGCCTGGAAAGAGAGGGTGGTGTCCAGGATGACTCCCAGGTTGCGGACTTCAGTGGACGGGGAGATAGAGCAGCCGTCAATGGAGAGAAGCAGGTCTCCAACCTTCTGGAGCTGCGTCTTGGGAGCCACAATCATGAGCTCTGTTTTATTGCTGTTGATTTTGAGCAGGTTTGATGACATCCAGTTTTTTATGTCCTGTAGGCAGTTGACAAGGGATTGAGGGGGGAGCTGAGTGGACGGTTTGGTGGAGAGATAGAGCTGTGTGTCATCAGCATAAGAGTGAAAGCTGAGACCATGTTGGCGGATGATTTGACCAAGTGGGAGCATGTAGATATTGAATAGGAGGGGTCCAAGCACAGAGCTTGAGGTACACCTTGGTTGACTGGGGCGGGAGGGGAGCTG